TGTAGAGATGAGGTCTCACCAAGTTGCCAGGCGGGTCTCAAACCCACGGGCTCAGGCAATTCACTTACCTCGGCCTCCCAAAGTGCGGGATTACAGGCTGAGCCACCAAGCCCGGCCCACTATCACTTTTGCTGGAAATTCATTCTAGTCTAATGCTATTTAACAAATTAATATCTTTTTTTTTTTTTGAGTCAGGGTCTCACTCTGTCACCCAGGCTAGAATGCAGTGGTACCTCGACTGCTGCCTTGATCTCTTGGGCTTAGGTGATGCTCCTGCCTCAGCCTCTTGAGTAACTGGGACTACAGGCATGCACCACCACACCCAGGTAATTTTTTGATTTTTTGTTTTGTAGAGATGGGTCTCAATATGTTGCCCATCCTGATCTTGAACTCCTGGGCTCAAGCAATTCACTTGCCTCAGCCTCCCACAGTGCTGGGATCACAGAAGTGAGCCATCAAACCTGGTCTACAAATTAATTTTTATTTTACTCTTATTGAATTTTAGAAATGTCTCTAACTAGACTAGAAGGTTACTGAGCAAAGGGATTTTGTCATTTTCCTAGCTATAGTAAACACACAGTAAGCCTTCAATACATGTCCCTATTAAGTTAGGATAAGTCAGAAAGAGTTGTTATCAACAATTTTCTATTTACTACCTGAGCTATTAAGGGCTTAATAACAAAATAAAAATTATGTCCAACATGACTATAATAACTAAGTGAATGGTTTGCTCTGCTTTTCCTAGCTTCACGGCATCAAATTCCTTGAGACTGAACATTCAGCACAGAGACCATCATTTCAGACACCTGCTCAGTATAACTGGAGAAAGGAAAGGTGATGCAGCAGAGGCTAGGAATGGAGAGAAAATAGTGATTTGAAGAGCCACTGAGACCTTAGGGGACATGGGTCCTATTGAGTCAGCAAAGGGAATCCATTTCTAGAGTGAAATCCAGGTTGAACAGTTCATGTAGGGAGTGTCCCCTGCATAGATGGATATAAAGAAATGATCAGAAATAAAGGGAAACTCATGTTTAAAAAAATAAGACAAAATATTCAATCACTCATAATATCTAGAGCTATTCGCTATTCTTTATTCAGTTCCAAATGCCCTTCATAATAATCATTTGGCAATTACCTTGGTGATTTCACGTTCATGTCCTTCAAACCTTTTCATCACTTTTCCAGTTTTCCAGTTATAGGCCACAACTGTCTGAAGAGAGTCAATATTTTAGTTTTTACTTTAATCACTCAATTTTTGTTGAACTGAAACTAGTCTTTACTTCGTTCCTCATTATAATTCCTCCCATCTAACTAGCGCCCTCTGGGTCAAGGGATACTTGCTTGGAGCAGTGGGGTTTTATTGTTGTATCCCTCTTCCCCATTTTCTCCTTTGTTTGAGTTTCTTTCCTCCTGATATTCCTCTGTTTCTCCTTGACACAGGGCCATGCCTCTAAACTTATTGATGGGTTTCAGATAACAGTCCCCAGGGAGCATTGATTCAGCTTTAGGTTCTGACTGTAGATGCTGAAGAATTCTACATGGGGTTAGACATTTTCCCCCTATTATATCATTCTTTTTTGTGTTTTTTAAAAATTTACCATCTTAACCATTTTAAGTGTACAGTTAAGTATATTCACATAGTTGTAAAAGATTGCACCTTTCTTTTTAATTAAAAAATCCATAATTCCATCTGCCAAAGAGAATCATTGTTAAACTTTTTTGACCTTTTTTCCTAGTGTATACTTTCGTGTGTGTGTGTGTGTGTGTGTGTGTGTTTTGAGTTGGAGTCTCACTCTGTCGCCCAGACTGGAGTGCAGTGGCTGCTTCCGGCCACCGCAGCCTCGACATGCTGGGCTCTGGCGATCCTTCCGCCTCAGCCTTCCAAGTAACTGGAACTACAGGCATGCGCTACCATGCCTGGCTAATTTTTTAAATTTATTGTAGAGATGAGGTCTTGCCAAGTTGCCCAGGCAGGTCTCGAACCCGCAGGCTCAGGCAATCCACTCACCTCAGCCTCCCAAAGGCGCAGGATTACAGGCTGAGCCACCGAGCCCGGCTTGTGTGTGTGTGTTTTGAGCAGGAGTCTCACTCTGTTGTATAGGCTGGAGTGCAGTGGCATGTTCACAGCCACTGCAGCCTCAACCTGCTTGGTTCAAGCAATCCTTCTGCCTCAGCTTTCCAAGTAGCTGGAACTACAGGTACATGCCACCATTCCCAGCTAATTTTTTGATTAGTTGTAGAGACAAGTTCTCGCCAGGCTGGTCTTGAACTTCTGGTCTTATATGATCTTCTCATCTTGGCTTCCTGAAATCCTAGGATTATAGGCATGAGCCACCATGCCTGGCCCACTTTAATATTTTATTGTAAGTATTTTTCTCCCTAAACAGGATTTTAAAGAGTTTTCTGCCAACTTAGACAATGTAGAGAGACTCCATCTATACAGAAAATTAAAACTTAGATGGACATGGTAGCACGTACCTGTAGTCCTAGCTATGTAGGAGACTGAGGTGGGAGGATCACTTGAGCCCAGGAGTTCAAGGCTGCAGTGAGCCATGATCACACCACTGCACCCCAGCCTTGGTGACAGAATGAGAACCCATCTCCAAAAAATTTTTTAAAAATAAAAGCATTTTGGGCCAGGCGTGGTGGTTCATGCCTGTAATCCCAGCACTTTGGGAGGCTGAGGAGAGAGGATTGCCTGAACCCAGGGGTTTGAGACCAGCCTGGACAATTTGGTGAGACCTCGTCTCTACAATAAATCAAAAAATTAGCTGGGTGTGGTGGTGCATGCCTGTTGTTCCAGCTACTTGGAAGGCTGAGGCAAAAGGATCTCCTGAGCCTGGCAGGTTGAGGCTGTGGTGGCTGTGAGTGTGCCACTGCACTCCAGCCTGGGTGACAGAGTGAGACTGACTCAAAATAATTTTTTGAATTAAAAAGAAAAAAACATTTGTTGGCCATGTCTCCGAGGTTCATTGCCAGAGAATAAGGGGCATGTATAATTTGCAAAATAAAGATGATAATCCTGGCCTGGTGAGGTGGCTCAAGCTTGTAATTCCAGCACTTTGGAAGGCCAAGGCAAGAGGATTGCCTAAGCTCAGGTGTTCAAGACCAGCCTGGGCAACTTGGTGAGACCTCATCTCTTATAATAAATCAAAAAATTAGGTGGGCATGGTAGCACATGCCTATAGTTCCTGTTACTTGGAAGGGTGAGGCAGAAGGATCTCCTGAGCCCAGCAGGTCAAGGCTGCAGTGGCCATTAGTGTGCCATTGCACTCCAGCCCGGGTGACAGAGTGAGACTCTGACTCAAAAAAAAGAGGATAATCCTTCCCCTACCTACCCCTTTTAAGTGTGAGTGAGAGTCACATAAATAAAACTCCCTTTTTTTTTTTTTTTTG